GCCGGCTGGGCTTGAACCACGACACTACTCAAAACCTTACAACCACTGAGTAAATCAGTTGCAGAAAACTGCTGCAAGGAGTGGGCTAAGCCATCCATTACCTATTTTGAAAGAGAAAAGAAGACAAATTACAAGTGCCAGGTACTTGAAAGTCTCACCAATGTCATGAACCCAACAACATGTCACTCCCAAAGCCAGCACGGCACGTTGTCCTCACAGATGTAATACTGCTGGTGCAGGCACTGTGAACTGCTGAGCTATTCACCAGTCAAGTGTACAGACAAACCTGGAAGCTCTTGTCAGTAAGAATAAATGACTTCTTTAGAGGAACCTTGCTTTCCAGTCCAGGGAAAGGCCTGCCTCTGCAAAATGGTCAGCAAGCAAAAAGCAAGCCACAGGTAGGTTCTTGATGACCATGAGGTAAGAGAGGTCATCAAGTGTTGGGCAGTGTTGAGGAATGGCATCAAGACAGCTATCAACCTGCAGTCTGGTCCAGCTCTGGACACACACCCTATGGTGGGGAGGAAACCAAATCTGCTTATGTGTGGAAATAACGTGCTGCACCCATTGTCATACATAGAGCTGGTGTAAAACCTCTATGATGCTCTCACTCTCTTCTCCACACAAAACTCAAAGGTGCTTCACATCACTGCTCACCTTTGTGCCCCACAGCCTGTGCACATGGGCCTTTGGTCAGAGGGTACCTGTTGCAGCCAGAGCTCTCCCTGGGTGAACATTGTCCTTGCTCCTCTGACCAAATAACCTCTCCCAGTCCTCTTCACCATTACTCAATGTGTGTGCTGGAGGAGCAATCAAGCTGAAAGCTGTGCTCTGAGCAGGTTTGCTGAATCAGGTGCAAGGGGGAGCTAACCTTGAAGTGATGGGCTCAAGAATCCAGGCCCTGGGGCTCGTCAATCCTGGCTGGCTCCCTCCTCTATCACCTGGAACAAACCCTTCTCCTCCATTCACTGAGCTACAGTGCATAATGCCACCCCTCTTTTTAGAGAGGGCTTTGTCATCTGCTGGTGAGAAAGGATAAGATGATGGTGTTAGTACAGACAAAAACAAAGCAGGGACTTTCAAAATGTCAGTTGAACAAAGGTATCATTTTAGCTGAACAAGAGTTTCCAAGCAATGAATGATGGTACATACAGACCTACTGAACCATGAAAGACTAGAGTATCTATCCATTGACAGGCATTCTAGTGAAGCAAAGCTGACTCATTCTTAAACGCACACTTCTAAATCAGGGTTCCTCAGAAGGCCAGCCCGTGTCCTCTCTTCTGTTGTGCTAAACTGCCATAGAAAGGTAGATGAAGGGAAGAATCAGCTTAATTATATGAAGTACAAATCACGATGAAAATGTAAAAACAAGTTGGTTGGTTTGTTTTCATACAGCACTTAGGCCACCACAGACACTCCCTAAGCATGAAGCTGAATTACACACTTGCCTTTTACTCTGGAAGTTGGCCTCATTCCTTTTGACTGTACTGTGTGCAGCTCTGGTGTCCTCAACATAAGAAGGACATGGAGCTGTTGGAGCAAGGCCAGAGGAGGCCACGAGATGCTCAGGGGCTGGAGCACCTCCTATATGAAGACAGGCTGAGAACATTGGGGCTGTTCAGCCTGGAGAAGAGAAGCTGCGTGGAGACCTCAGAGCAGCTTCCAGTGTCTGAAGGGGGCTACAAGGATGCTGGAGAGGGACTCTTCATCAGGGACTGTAGAGACAGGACAAGGGCTGATGGGTTCAAACTGAAACAGGGGAAGTTCAGGTTGGATCTAAGGCAGAAGTTCTTCCCTGTGAGGGTGCTGAGGCGCTGGCACAGGGTGCCCAGAGAAGTGGTAAATGCCCCATCCCTGGCAGTGTTCAAGGCCAGGTTGGACAGAGCCTTGGGTGACATCGTCTAGTGTGAGGTGTCCCTGCCCATGGCAAAGGGTTGAAACTTAAGGTTCTTTCCAACCCAAATGATTCTCCTACACCAAAAGGCTGTTTATTTAAAAGGTAGAGTTCACACGACAAGCGTTGGAGATTCAGTGGTTGGACTTGATGATGTTAAAGGTCTTTTCCAACCGAGTTGATTCTATGATTCTATGACTGTGCAAAAGCCTCCTCCCAATCTCCTCCTCTGAGTCTATGACCCAGACATGAATTGCTGTTCTCCTTTCTATACTATTGCTGTTTGCCTCTGCCCCAGCACCAGCTTTGCACACCTGGTCTGAAAGAGAGTACAATCCAACAGGGACCACAGTGCTTCTTCAACACTAGGATGATTCCAGCAGGGATTTGTGTCCAGCACGCACACATTTTCCTCCAAAAGCTCTTAATTTTTCCCACTTTCACCCAACCTCTCTCTCTTAACACAGCCTCAGACCAATCTCATCAACTCCCATTTCTTATGCAAATATGCCCATTTGACTTGATTTACAGAAATCAAGGGCCATTTAGTAATGTCAAATGTCAGGCAAATCGTACTGAGAACTCAACAGGACTTTGCTACTCTGGGTATGAAAGAAGCTTTTAAGTAGGAGGCTGGAAATGAATAGTCAATATAACTGCGGTGAGATTTCTACACTTGCATAACTGATAACACATTTCAAAGGTGATGTAGTGCTGGTGGTATCTGCAGTCATCTTACTGTAACACAGCCCTGACGTATGCAGGTTCTTGATGCATACAATTAGCATTTAATGAGCATTATTTAGCTCAGTAACTACGCTGCAAGCTGCTTGTGATTTCAGGTGTTGCAAAATGAAAACTACAGAGGCACTAAGAATTCTGGAAAATTCCAAGAAGATGTTTGTTTCCTTGCTTTTGAACAACTACAACAAGTTCAAGAACCTGATCTGCAAGATTCTGATCTGTTTCCGCAGATATGAAAACCTCAGAAAAGGTACTTTCAGTGCTGCTAGCAACCTGTAAGACAACAGACCGTGTGAAGATTGACGTTACCAGCATTTTCCAAACAGCCAAGTTCAGGAAGAGACTTTTGTACCTGGGACTGCGATTGGAACAATTGGTAGAGATGTCAGCATGAAAAGCTTGTCTTCTTTGCACAGGGACTTTGCCCTTCTTAAAATATCTCCATAGGTTTGGGCAGCTAGATCCAAGAGAAGGT